GCTGCTGTAGTGAAGGTTGTTTTGTTTGTTGCATCACAACCTACTGCAGGACCGCTGGCATTCTTCGGAACCACATACCAGTTGTACAGCGTTGAAGCAGTTAAGCCGGTAGCACTGTAGGTAGCAGCAGTTACGTTGGCCGTTGGCGTCACCGGCGCAGTAGCACCGGTCCAGATATAAACATCATAAGAAGTAGCCGTTGCAACTGCACCCCATGGTTAAGGTAGCCGTTGTCTGTGTGCCGATCGTCGATGCGTTTGCTGGCAATGTATTGGTAGCACATACTGGTACTGGTATAGCAGCTGTAGTAAATGTTGTAGCATTGGTCGCATCGCAACCCACTGCTGGGCCGCTGGCATTCTTCGGAACCACATACCAGTTGTACAGCGTAGAAGCAGTTAAGCCGGTAGCACTGTAGGTAGCAGCAGTTACGTTGGCCGTTGGCGTCACCGGCGCAGTAGCACCGGTCCAGATATACACATCATAAGAAGTAGCCGTTGCAACAGCACCCCAGGTGAGGGTAGCAGTTGTCTGCGTACCAATCGTTGATGCGTTTGCAGGCAATGTATTGGTAGCACATACAGGAACTGGTATCGCAGCTGTTGTGAAGGTTGTTTTGTTTGTTGCATCACAACCCACTGCTGGGCCGAAGCATTCTTCGGAACCACATACCAGTTATACAGCGAAGAAGCGGTTAAGCCGGTTGCATTGTAAGATGTAGTTGTTACATTGGCTGTTGGTGTAACAGGGGCAGTAGCACCGGTCCAGATATATACATCATAAGACGTGGCCGTAGAAGACGCACTCCATGTTAAGGCGGCAGTTGTTTGAGTAGCGATGGTCGAACCGTCCACCGGCGCGCTGTTGATAGCGCAACCTGGAACTGGTATTATTGCCGAGGCAGTGGTAAATACAGAAGTATTGGTAGCTGCACAGTTAACGGCAGGACCGCTGGCATTGCGGGGAGCTATATACCAATTGTATACAGTACCGGCGGTAAGTCCGGTAGCATTGTAAGAATTGCCGCCCACATTGGCCGTTGGTGTAACAGGGGCCGTAACTCCTGTCCAGATATATACATCATAAGAAGTAGCCGTGGAAGCAGTATTCCATGTGAGCGTGGCAGTGGTTTGTGTAGCCAGGGTAGTACCATTGGCAGGTGCTGTATTGGTAACACAGGACGGCACAGGTACTGCTGCTGCTGTGGTGAAAGTAGTTTTATTGGTCAGATCACAACCAGTTGCGGGACCTCCTGCATTTTTTGGAGTCACGTACCAGTTGTACAGGGTACCTGCAACCAGTCCAGTTGCATTGTAAGTAGCGTGGTTACGTTGGCTGTTGGTGTAACCGGCGCAGTAGCACCTGTCCAGATATATACATCATAAGAAGTAGCCGTAGCAACAGCACCCCAGGTTAGGTAGCAGTTGTCTGCGTACCAATCGTTGATGCGTTGCTGGCAATGTATTGGTAGCACATACAGGTAACTGGTATCGCAGCTGTCGTAAACGTAAACGTATTTGCTGTTGAACAACCGGTGGCGGCACCATTGGCATTCCGCGGGGCGACATAGTATTTGTAAGTGGTATTGGCAATAAGACCGGTAGTATCGTAAGTGGTACCGGAGATATTGCGGGTAGGAGACGTGGGCACAGTTGCGCCCGTCCACATATACAGGTCATAAGAAGTAGCTGCTGCGGGTACCCTGCTGAAAACGTTTTTGCCAAATACCCTTTGTGCCAGGATATTGTGACCTGTTCCGTTCATGTGTGTGTTATCTCCTGAGTCGTACATAATGGAACTGTCTGCAGGATTGACAAGACCTGTGTAGAAATCAACGGCAAAATCCCCAAAGGCCGCCAATATACTGTCTTTTAATACCGCCAGTTTTAATTTCACGTCTGATCCGCTAAAATCAGGCGCACTTGTTCTTGGCTGAGTAGTAGTGATAAAACAAGGAACGCCTTTTTTATTGGCAGAATCTTTTATTGTACGCAGGCAGTACATGATTTCTGCCACTGACAATGTATTATAAGCATTGGAAGGGTAATTAACAAGAACCACATCCGGGTTAAGCGCAAGGGCAGCCGTGATGTTAACATCAGTAGACGGTGCATAAAGTGCGCCCTGGCCCGGGTAAGGGGTAATATAAGATGATGGCATGCCATTATAGACATTGGTGCCACCCCTGGCCAGCTGATTATCAATTATGGTATCATTCGGTGCTAACTGGTTGTAAAGGTTACTGAGGCGGTTCACATAACAATCAGTTACCGGACTTACATTAACGCATGCTGATGTAGACGATCCGATAATTACCAGTTTTCTCTGTGTTGAAGCGCTGTTCCAGCTAAGGTTGGCTGTTGTCTGCGTAGCCAGGGTGCTATTGTTTGCAGGCGCTATATTGGTAACGCAGGCCGGCACCGGGCTGTTTAACGCAGCAGTGGTAAATGAGAAAGTATTGGTTGCTGCGCATCCTGTTGCCGGACCGGTAGCATTTCTTGGCACTATGTACCAGTTGTAAGAAGTAGCCGGAACTAAAATAGAGGTATAATAAGATGTGGTAGTAATATTGGTGGTGGGCACAACCGGCGCAGTTGCTCCCGTCCAGATATAAACATCATAGGATGTTGCATTCGCAACAGCACCCCAGGTGAGGGCAGCTGAGGTCTGGGTAGCAAGCGCAGCACCATTTGCCGGAGAAATATTCACAGCACAACCCGGCGCCGGCACTACTACTGCCGCCGTAGTAAAGCTTGTTTTGTTTGTTGCATCACAACCTACTGCAGGACCAGAAGCATTCTTCGGAACCACATACCAATTGTACAGCGTAGAAGCAGTTAAGCCGGTAGCACTGTAGGTAGCAGCAGTTACATTAGCCGTTGGTGTCACCGGCGCAGTAGCACCGGTCCAGATATATACATCATAAGAAGTGGCTGTAGCCACAGCACC